CTTTCATTTGTTCCTCTTCTGTTTCAAATTTCAATAAAATTTATACATTTTAACCACTACATGTTCATCATTTGTACATTGTTCAACTTCAAATTTTGTCACCTGTTGCTTAATTCCAAATGTCTTATTAACTTCCTTAAACCTTTCTCTTAATTGTACCTAGGAAAAACATTGACCATTAAATCCCCCTGCAACCAGTTGTTCTTTTGATTTTATCCTATATTTTCCATACTGTTATTCTAACAACTCTTGATAAGTTAACCCAGGGGTCTTCAAACTTGACAGCTTTAAGACTTGTGGACTTCAACTCCCAGAATTCCTTCTCCAGTCATGTTAGGTCAGGAATTCTGGGAGTTGAAGTCCACGAGTCTTTAACTTGCCAAATTTGAAGACCCTTGAGTTAACCATATCTCTTTATCTGTGTTGTGGTTAGCTGGGAGCAGGTGCAGACGGCTGAGGAGAGCGAGGACTCAGATGAGCGGCCAGGACCATTAGGGTGTGGGCTGCCGCCTTCAGAGATTGTGGGGGCTGGCAGCAGTGATGAGGTTCCCGAGGAGCCTGTGCCAAGTGCGTGTGCGTGCAGGACTGCTCAGAGGAAAGAGCAGTTAAAACAGCACAGGCGACTCAAGAGTAAGGCTGCAATGTAATGGCTCCTCCTTCAAGACTATAAAAGCCAGCTGTGAACGAACGTACTTTGCAGAAGGCAAAAATGTTTTGAACTCAGCCTCATGGACATTACAGTTGGTATTTGAAGACTTTTGTATTGTAAACTATTTCTTTATCTGTTGTGTTTTGGCAGACTTGCAAAAACTTGGCAACATTCTTTCTTGTGGGAGCTAATTAGTTGGAAGTAGCCTTTTATCTGTGAAGAAACAGAATTCTTAGCCGAAACATGAAAAGGTTGTACTGCTGTCTTCGTCTTTTGTTTGCTCTCTTGGAACCAGGTTTGGGTCAGAAAATCTGTGGTTTCTTTTCCATAAAATGATTCTTGAGATCCATAAAGGTATTTTGGGGAACAGTCTGTTTTTTTAAAAACAACTATTTTCTCAATATGGCACTTCTAATAATAGATTGCCACTTCAGTAAGTGGGTCTATATGTAGATTGCTTTGGTTCACTTCTTGCAATGATTGCTGAAAATAATGCAAGCTAAATATTTAGCAGCATTACTTCATATGTCAATTTCCCTTATTTCCAATATTCAGTTAGTAGAGTACAAATAGGTAAAGTCTACATGTTCCTTAATGTATGAATCACCTGTTCGGGTAGCAATACCAGTTTTCACCCAGCTTTAATTTAATGGCAGATCAATAGTAGTTGGGATGGTGGTGGTAGAAGTAAGACATATAGGCAGGTAAATTTTCAGAGAAGAATCCAAAACGAAGGACTAGAAGTATGTAAAACTTTATATGGGAGTTGGATGACAGAAAAAAGTTAATAAATATTTAAAAATAAAACAAAACATGTTGAATTCAAAACACCCCTTTTGAGTTTGAAAAGTTGCTTCAGGTTTGAAATGGGTTGCTTAGACCAGGGGTCAGCAACCTGTGGCTCTGGAGCTGCATGTGGCTCTTTGATCCCTCTTCTGCAGCTCCCTGTCACCATTTGATAAAAGGAAAAAGGACACTGCGCTAGGAGGAGACTCTATGGTGAGGGAACCAGACTTCCGGTTGGCTCCAGAATTGAATGAGGGGCTTCTGGCTAGGACCTTCATGACTCTTTGAGTGTTTAAGGTTGCCAACCTCTGGCTTAGACCTTCCCAGGTATTTCAGTGCTCGGACCCTTCTAAGTTGAACCTCCCGTTTTGAATCTGTATCCAGTGTTTCAAGTTTGGGACAGGATTGTTTTGATTTTGAACCATTTGCAGAATAGCCAGAACACCTGTTTCAAACTCTATGAACACAGTTCTTCAAACTTCAAATGTTGAATGCAAAAAACCATTGTGCGCATTGCTATTTATTTTCAACATCCTGCATTCTTCATGCAACATGCCATGTAAATCCTCCTTGAGTGATTTTTGTGTGTGTGGGGGGGGGGGGAGGGAATCCAATAACTTTCCCCTCGGTCTCATGCCAGTTGAAGCAGCATAATGATAATCATGCATGCTGAAAACAAAATGCTATCTGTGCAAAAAAAAGTGGCTCTTAAACCTTTGATGTATCACTACTATATCAGGCCAGTGATCTTGCTAACCAGCAGTGGGATTCACTTTTTTTACTACCGGTCCTGTGGGCGTGGCTTGGTGGGGGAAGGATACTTGGCAGATACTGTAAAATCTCCAGTCAGGGGTGGTATTTGCCAGTCCTCCAAACTACTCAAAATTTCTGCTAACAGTTCTCCAGAACTAGTCAGAACCTGCTAAATACCACTTCTGTTGCTAACCAAGGACTAACAGCAGCTTCTTCCATACCAGCCATTGCCATCTCCTCGGATGTATTTTATGGTTCCAAAAACTCAAATGGATGGAGCAGGGATAAAAAATTAAAACTTTAAAAAGTGGTTAGGCTTATTCATGGCTAAGTACAGTGTGAGTTGTTGGTATCTCTTACTTCAATAAATCTTATAGGATGATTTTCATGGGGCTAAAAATGAGATGGAAGGCTATATATGTTGCTTTAAATCAGGAGTGTCAAACTTAAGGCCTGGGGGCTGGATCTGGCCTACGGGGTGTTTAGATTTGGCCGGTGGGGAGGTTCTGGAAACAGCAAAGGACCAGCCCGTGGTGCCAGTGAAAACAGAGCTTGAGAGGGCCACTAGCAGCCTTCCGGAGCTCCGTTTTCACTGACAGAGGGTTGCAGGAGGCCATCGCAACCGAAAACGGATCTTGGGAGCCTGTTTTCGCTTTCAGAGTGCTCGGGCCACCACAGGCGCCCCCCGACACAAGTGAAGTTGAGCTGGCCACGTCCACCCTAACCTCCTGAAGTCAAACACAATCCTTTGACACCCCTGACACACCACTCATGGAAAATAAGTAATTTTCAAATGTAAATGTATAGCTGCTGACTTTCCTGAGCAGCACGGCTGTATATTAAATCTGTTTTTAAGCTAAATGTGTACCGGGTCCACCTACCCAGTGGAATCTCTGTAAACAAGCTTACAGCAACTGTGGGCCGACAGGCTACACCTCACTATAATTTGAAGACGATACAGTCAGCTCAGAATAAACAGTGGGTGCCTGTTTGTGAGCCAGACAAGCCACTCACCATTTTCACTTATGGGAAAATGTCGCTACACTGGATCATACAGGTGTTTGTAACTAAATGTCCTTAGATTTTAAAAGGAGAAAGAAAAGTAATAGCCTCTATTTTTGCATTCCCTTAGCATGACTAATAAATAAACTCTTGATTCCTTCGTCCATAGTACAAACAACTGTCAACCCTAATGTTAGTGATTCTCAACAGTCACATTGATGGGCCTTACTTGATAAAGGACATTAAAGAGAGTGGGCCCCAGGCACAGTGCCCAGCTGTTGGTAGATGTTGAGGGTTTGGATCTGGCTCTGTGATAAGTTCAAAGGCTTTCCTGAACAGATTATACAAAACCGTTGGTGGTGCCAGTCTGCAGGCTCCTTTCCCCCACTTTTCTCCGACCCACCTTTTCTTGCTTGTGAATAACTACATTCAACACCGAAGGCTTTGGCCAAACTTCGTGCATTTTGAAAAAGAGTTTTCTTTACTCAGCTCGATAGTCACAATTTGTAGGTCACCATTTTGCTTAAAAGCCCCCTTGGTTTAAGTTCTTAGGGAACCCTGAAATTACCATATCAGTCACTGGTTATTTTGCCCAGTACAATTTTAGAAGAAACAATTCTGATGATTCCTCTCGGTCATCTTTGTCCTGTCTTTATCTGTGATCCTCACCGCTTGTCGTTCAATGCATTTTGCAGATATACTTCTGTTTCTTATTTATATTAAGTGTTTATGTTTCATTTATTTTTTTAAAGATTACAACCAAAGGAGTCCCGTCCCCCCGCCCCCTGCTTTTGGAAGGGTTTAGCAAAATAGTTTGTTGGAAGAAATATTCTTCTGGGTTCAGTTCCAAGTGTGGGGAAAGACACTAGAAACATGGAGGCTGTTTGGAAGGTTTAATGGTGGACAGGACCACATGGCCTGGAGCTCCAGAGTGAAAAGGAAGGATGATCACATGTTTCAAGGTGAAGGAAGAGATCAAAAAAGGGCTGATATGCTGAGTGTGCCTGGGTTTTATACCCTCTGTTGGGATTTGAACTGGAGCTTGTATTCTGATGCGTTGTCAGACTCCCATGAGGCCATGCAGGGGCAACTCCCTAGGCTGTCCTGAGTTCCAGGCTTGGTTAAGCCTCCTGGATGATGATGCACTGAAAAGGGCTTTTGAACAATTGCTATAGCTTTACCTGGAGATTTTTGTTATGTAAAGTATTCTGGCCCAGGCCTTAATGGCCCACCCATTTACAAAAGTGGGGGTGAGCTTCTACTTCTGAGGTGAGTTTCTGCTTCTGAGTTTCTACTCTTTTTAGAGGAAATATTCTGCCCTTTTAATATTTCCCAGGATATTTCATTTTTCTAGGAGAGGAGTGGGTGCTCTAACTTCCTACAAGTTCAAATCAGATCCCATGGACTAACGTTTAGAAGCGAGGGGGAAAGGGTGCTTAGCTAGAGTAGAGAAAATCTTTTCACAACAGTCAAGATTATCTTAGTACAGTTGCTGGCCTAGTGCCCAGCACTGACCTCTGAAGCTCAGGACATGGTGCCTGGCATTTGCATCTCTGAGCTTCCGCCCTCCCCGCCTCACCTCCTTCCATTTCTTCTGGTTTGATAAACTATACAAGCAAACGGTTTGCTGGCTTAAAGGCTCTTCTCCACAGTTACACTGATGCATTCAGTTTCTGCCCTTGAAGAAGTAGAAAAGTGTGCTGACAAAAGTCACTGCCCGAGCGGTGCCCAATTTTGCATCTCATTCGGGTGTCCTGTCAGCCATTCTTTCCTTCTTGCATTTCCAGGGAGCACCCGGTACAGGTTAGCGATGGCAGTTGGGATCAGAGTTTCCATTGCTAAACAATACAATCATAAGGTTTGACACGGTGTGACCATCTCACTCGGCGATGTAAGTTGTCGCCATTAAGCAAAACAGCGCACGTGACTTCACGAAGCAAGGATGGCGCGTGGTCACCGTTTATAACTTCCTGCTGGCTTCCCCGTTGACTTTGCTGGTAAGAAGTTGAGAAAGTTACAGATGGTGGTCGTGTGACCATCGTATACGTCGTAATTGTGAGCCAGGTGCTAAGAAATTGGATTTGGGATCATGTGACCAAGGGAGCAGAGCAACCAACCTTAGTATGAGAACCAGTCAAAACTGGCACTTTTGACACTGTTGTAAGTTTGAATGGTCACTGAATGAGTGGTTGTTAAATGAAGATCACCTGCAAATGAATCCTGATCTGCAGTAAGTAGAAGTCTAGCTATAGCATCTAGACTTATAGACCGCTTGATAGTGCTTTTACAGCCCACTCTAAGTGGTTTACAGAGTCAGCATATTGCCTCCAACCATCTGGGTCCTCATTTTACCCACCTTGGAAGGATGGAAATCTGAGTCAACCTTGAGCCTGGTGGGATTTGAACTGCCAAATTGCAGGCAGCTTGCAGTCAGCAGAAGTAGCCTGCAGTACTGTACTCTAACCACTGCACCACCACAGCTCTTAATACTTAGTATACTTAGATTCAGGATTCAGGAATTGAGGTTGGTATCCCAGCCTCTATGGGGTTGATGGATTCTGATCTCTAAGGTGGGGCTTACACATACATAATGTTCGTGCTGCATTTTCAATATATATTAGTAATCTACTCCACAATGTGCAAAAATGAGAACATATACGGAATGTAAATGCTTATATACAGGTAGTCATCGACCTACGACCATTGTTGAGCCCAAAATTTATGTTGTTAAGTGAGACGTTTGTCAAGCAGCAATAATTTGGCAGAGTCTTCACTATTTTGAATGTGGGCCAAATTCTCTTCCCTTCATGGTATTTTCTGCTTTCTTCTAGAGTTCTCGAACTGCTCGCTCTGAAGAGGACCGAGACAGTCTCTGGGATGCCTGGGGCTCCTGGAGTGAATGTTCCCGTACTTGTGGTGGGGGTGCTTCGTACTCCTTGAGACGCTGCTTAAGCAGCAAGTAAGTACTTCAAATACTTTTTTTTTCAACCTGCATCCTCTAAGATGCATCTTGCGGTGGAAAGGAACTAGCTGAAACTCAGAAGGTGGCTTTTTTTTTCCAGCAGCGAATCCAGCAAGTTGCATGGCTTCATCCACAATGATATAGTGCATTAAAAATGTGCAGGGCTATAAATGCTTCTTTACACAGCATTCGTAAAACATCTCCCATCCAAAATGATAATCTCCTCCATTTGTGCTAAATTTGAGATAAACTTCCCTGGTTTTTGCACCCCGCATTATTTTTGTCAGCTGAGAGGTCTAATATTAAAAGAGATTATAGGTCAGGGGTGTCAAACTCGTCTCGTCACGTGACATATCACGTCTTTTTTCCCCTTTGCTAAACTGGGGGTGGCCAGCGTGTAACGCATCGCACGGCCGCGAGTTTGACACCCATTATAGGTAGTCCTTGACTTACAACCACAGCTGGGACCACAATTTCCACTGCTTAATAAGGTGGTTCTTAAGCCAGTCACATCTGATTCTACAGCCTTTTTTTTTTTGCCATGGTCGTTAAGCTAATCACTGCAGTTGTTAAGTGAACCATGTGGTCATTAAGCAAATCCGCTTCTCTCCCCCTCCAACTTTAGTTGTTGGAAGCTAGTTGGGAAACCCACAAATGGCGATCGCATGATCCCAGGACATTGCAACCATCGTAAATGCATGCTGGTTATCAAGCACACAAATTCTGATCATGTAAGCATAGAGATGCTGCAACAACAGTCATAAGTCCAAAGATCAGTCACTTTTTTTAGTGGTGAGCGAATGATTGTAAGTCGAAGAGTTCCTATATTGCATTTGTGTATTTTCATCTAGGTATCTTATCCATTAATGCCTGCAAATTCATATTTTCAATGATCTATACAGTTCTATTTTTCCAAATGGGTTTCCTTCGGTTACAAAGCACACCCAGACTAAAACAAGGAAGTAATGAGTAGCTGGGTTGAGATGATTATTAAATGCTTCCTCCCTAAAAATTTGGGCAGCGGTTAGTGGAGTTAATGGCGCAAAAGGGAAGAAGAACCAAATTGAAACTTGTACAGACAGATCCTAGAGATATCTCTGAATGCCCAGAGTTTGGTGATGTCTAAACCAAATTAAATATATAAAATGACAGCTAATGCTAATTAAAATTATCTTGTAAGCCATTCTTCCATACCTCTCCTAAGTGTGTTCTATCCATACCCCTATCTTGTACATATTCTCTTATTAATACATTAATACATCTCTTAATACATATTGTTGCAGAGATAAAAAAAAATCCTCACAAGTAAGCCTAAACACTGGCTTGCATAGTTGAAACAATGTTTTTAGACAGAAACCTGTATTTACAGGGAGAAAAAAAAAATCAGGAAAGGTGTTGTTGAAATGCAACATTACAAGATAATTTTCTCGTTCTTAAAACGAAATCATAAATAAAAAGATTGATTTTTAAAAAAAAATGAGCGATGGACAACATCACAGTAGAAAAATACGTTTCCTGATTCTGAAATGGATAAATAATAAAATCTGTACTGACGTGATGGTTCTTGTGCTGATAGTCAACCGTATGCAAGGAGAAAAAGGCCTGTTTTGTATGAGGATGGTATGCTTGCATTTAATAACGCGCGCAGTGTACTGAGAAAGAGCGGGAAGCTGAGGTGATATTCAGCAGGTTCTGATCAGTTCTGGAGAATCAGTAGCAGAAATTTTCAGTAGTTCGGAGAACCAGTCGCTGAAATTTTGAGTAGTTTAGAATACCGCCTCTGACTGGCCCCGCCCCCATCTATTTGCTGCTTCCCGAGTCCCAGCTGATTGGCTGGGTCTTCTTTTGTTGCCCTGCACAGGAGAACGGAGCTGGAAAGCAGGTTAATGGGGTGGGGAGGGAATGGGGATTTTACAATAACCTTCCCCCGCCACGCCACGCCCACCAAGCCATGCCCACAGCACCGGTAGTAAAAAAAAAATTGAATCCCCCCGGGGAGCCCCAGTCACTCCTGATTTAAAAAATAAATAAATACTCAACTTCTAAGAAAGAGAACTTCAAAACCAATGAGTGCTTGATTTGCCTCCTGAAAAAAGGAGCACCACAAACAAACTCTATATTGTTGCAAAGAAAACAACATGTACATGACTATGGATTCTCCATTTTTCGAGCTTCACTGGGGGGTGGTTTTACTGTCCTCCCCCCACCCCAATCCTCATACTCTTGCTAGCTTTGTGCAAACAAGACCTCAACCTGCAACTACAACGGGGACCAGCATTTTCAGTGCCAATCAAGGGGGCTGTTAAGTGAACCACACTCAATTCTACGATACTTTTTTTTTTTTGCCATGGTCATTAAGTGAACCACAGCAGTTATTAACTGCAATCAACGAAGTCAACTTGCCCTATTGACTTTGCTCATCAGAAGCCATCTGGGCAGGTTGCAGATGGCGATTATGTAATCGCGGGATGCTCCAGCAAACATACATACACGCCGGTTGTCAGGTAGCCTAGAGTTGGGTCATATGACTTGGGATGCTGGGACTGTCGTCAGTGTAAGGACAGGTCATAAGTCTTTTTTTTTTTTCAGTGTCATTGTAACTTAGAAGAGTCACTAAATGAATCGAAGTAAATCTTGGACTACCTCCATGAATCTTCTATGGCAGGGGTGTCAAATTCAATTTTATTGAGGGCCACATCAGCATTGTGGCTGCCATTGGGGATGGGCAGGTGGGCATGACTGGGTGGTGGTGGCCCAATGGGTGGCAATGGCCAGGGTGGGTGTGGCCAGCTCAATGTTGCTTGTGTCGGGGGCGCCCGTGGGGGATCAGGTAGGGCTGGGGGGGGGAATAGAGAGATTGGTTTCTGGTGGAAGGGGTGCTTTGGCCTGATCCATCGGAGGAACAAAGACAGAGGGCTTGTGGCGAAGGTGCTCAGCCAGTCACCGTTATCGGAACGCTGCGGCCCCTGCACACTTGGTCCCCGCCATCCAACCTCATCCTCCAGCAAGCCCACTGCCTGCTCCCCTGCCCCTCATGGCCCCAGTGGCTACGGGCAACCAGTGGGACGAAGCCAGCCTCTAACTGCCAGGCTGAAGCACTGCAGGACAGTCCTATGCTACTTCCAGAGTGGCTCCGCAAGCCAGATCTTACCACCCTGTGGGCTGGATTCAGCTACGGGCCTTGAGTTTGACACCCCTGTTCTATGGGAATGAAGACAAAGACAGAAAAAGTGAGAAGAATCCTGCAGACTTTGGTGTCTGCTTGGGTTTCAAAAGGAAGGTTTCTACGACTGCTGAAGACCTTTCCCACATAGCTCTCATCTGTTCCTGCTATTAGTCTTTTCCCAAACCCCAAAAGGCTACTTCCGATGGCTGCCATCTTCTAAAACTGCTTCACTTACCTTCTATGATGTTTCTATCTCTGCATATGGGCTGACGGAAGGGAGGAGGGGTCTTTCAAGAAGCTGGGAGGTCTTCTCTACACAGCCTGTAATTCATTCTCTCTCTCTCTCTCTCTCTCTCTCTCTCTCTGTGTGTGTGTGTGTGTGTGTGTGTACATATGGTTGGAAATAGTTGGCAGAGGTTTAAAAATGATTCCAATGTTGCATATACAATAGAAAGTCAGAAAATCCAACTGTCCGGACTGATTCTCTCCTTTATTAACTCAGAAGGCAATGTATTTGTGTAATTCAGAATTAACAAAGAAAGAAGAAATGATGGAATTGCCTTAATATCATTTTAATGGTTTTAATTAAATGACTTCTATCATTTTAAAAATGAATTTATTAAGTGCTCAACAGGGAGTCTATGAATTTATCAACCTAATGATGAGGTCAGTGGCCAAAACGGTCTCTCTAAGCAAACATGAGCTACCAATCCTTTCCTGAGGTGGCCTGATTGATGGAATGGTCAAAAAAGCTGAACCAAGCCATACCGGGAAATAAATGTTCAAGTTTCATCGGAATTCTTTAAAGCAGAGATTGACCAAAAAGACTGTCAGCCCGCAGAGGCAGCATGCAATCAGGCACCTATGTAGGGCAGCTTCAAAAGATGTTATGCCTGAGCTGATGACAGAGTAGACCCAATTCTGAAAATAAGAGACCATGTTCTGACAGGGCCTTTTAGCCTCAAAACATGCTGGCAGCCGTAATGGGCTGAACCAAGGCGATCAGGACATCTCTTTGAAAGAAGGGATAGCATTACCCTTAATTATAAAACATAAATTGTTTCAACTTCCACCCTCAAAACGACCTTATAGGGCAGGATTGTCAAATTCGTAGCCCATGGACCGGATGCGTCACACGTTGGCCATGTCAACATCCGGTTTAGCAAAGGGGAAAAATGTCCCAATATGTCATGTGATGCCGTCGTGACAACGCAAGTTTGACACCCCTGTTATAGAGCATTGCACACCAAAACAACTAGACACAAGGACAGTTTTTCCCCCTCATGCCATCACTCTGCTAAACAACTAATTCCCACCATATTGTCAAACTACTTACAAAGACCGTATTAGTATTAGTCTTCTCATCCTTCCTATTACCTATCTCCTTTTCTACTTATGACTATAACCTTGTTGCTTCTATCTTTATGATTTATATTGTTTTATTTAGTTTCCTAGTATGATTTGGATGGTTTATTTAGTATCCTATGGCTATCACTGTGTTGTATCATATGATTGATGATGAATCTATTTATGATGACTATGATCATGATTTGTCCCTTATATCTTTTATGTACACTGAGAGCTTATGCACCGAAGACAAATTCCTTGTGTGTCCAATCACACTTGGCCAATGAAGAATTCTATCAAGCCATAGAAGCATCTGGGATTATATAAGAATAGCCTCCATTAAGTTTAATACCGAGTCCATGCAGCCAGAAATGAAAACTGATTTGGCATTAGAGGTTGTCCTTGACTTACAACCAGAATTGAGCCTGTCACTTCTGTTGCTAAGCGAGACAGATACCAAGTGAGTTCTGTCTCATTTTATTAC